ATAATGATAAAAATAGGGACCAGCAGATGGTGTAGTGGTTACATCGTTAGACTGGCACATGGCCAACTATGGTTCGAGTCCTGGACCCAGCAGCTTGAAACTCATGCCAGGTATGTGTGCGTGCATGCGTGTGTGTGTGTGTGTGTGTGTGGGTGTGTACACAAAATTCCAAGAGGATAATAGAGGAGAAGGGATTGCAGCGTGGTCATCCCCGCTTGGGGGTGATTTCTCACTTTCTGTTTCTCTGTCTCTCCAACGAGTGCACATGCTCTATAGCAACAAAAATCTCTCCCGAAAAAACGAGTAATATTAATAAATAAATAAAGACTTCGCACACCCATGTTCACGGTGACAGCCTCCCTGACGGCCCACAGTGGAAGTAACCGACTGTGGGTGGTGCGTGGGTAAACCACATGTGGCCTACACACACGACAGGGTCCTGCCCAGCCTTAGAGCGCTGGCCATGCTCCCGCGTGGACGGCCCTCAGGCACTGATGCTACGTGACGTAAGCCAGTCACCGAACAGCACGCTCTGGCTCAGCCGGGGTGATGCAGACAGCCGGAAAAGGCTGGGGCCACATGGAAGGCCTAGGTTCAGATCCAGGACCAACCAAACAGGCCAGGCCTGGGGGTGTGTGCCCGTAATCCCAGCTAAGTGGGAGTCCAGGGCAGAGGGGACGGTGGTGAGATCCTGTCAAACACACTCTCTCTCGGGGTGGGGGTGCTGTCGGGTCCCCTCGTATCAGATGCTAGAACAGTCGCACTCAGCGATGGAAAACGGACCGGTTCCAGAGACTGGGGGAGAGGGGACGGGAAGTCAGTGTTCAGCGGGGACAGAGTTTCGGTTCTGACCGATGAGAGTTCTGGAGAAGGACAGGCAATGATGGCACCAAAATGCGCCGATGCCGAAGACTGCTCAGCTGTTCGGGGAAGGATGGCGAGATGGTGGGCCAACAGGTGGGGGGGGGGGGGGGGCTAAGGCAGCTGGAGCCCACATAGCCGACTTCGCGGTTTGAATCCCAGACCCAGGGCCAGCAGATGGCATAACAGTTATGTTGCTGGACTCCCACATGGTTGACTATGGTTCGAGTCCTGGACCCAGTGGCCTGAAAATCACGCCGGGTGTGTGCGCGTGCATTCCCAAGACCCTGGGAGGAGAACATGGGAGAAGGGATTGTGGCGTGGCCGCCCCCTCTAGAGGGTGATGTCTCACTTTCCCTCTGTCTCTGCCTCTCTCTCTCCAGCGAGTGCATGTACCCCAAGGCAAAAAGCCTCTAATAAAAAGAAAGAAAAAGAAAGTCACTCTAGGTGCATGTGCGTGAGTGACCAGAATCCCAAGAAGAGGATGACAGAGAAGAGAATGTAGAGTGGCCATCCCCGAGGGGTGATTTCTCACTCCCCCACCTCCCTCTGTCTCTTTCCAGAGAATGCATGCAACCTAAGACTGGGGGAAAAAAAGATGGTAAGTTTGATGTAATATATTGTTTGACCACAGCTGAAAATTTATTATTCGAAAAAATACTTCCTGGCCTAGTGGCAGTGGCACAGGAGTGGGGTGTGGCTATATCACACTTGGAGCCACGTGGGAGGCCCCACTCAGATCCAGGCCGGCCTGCACACACAGGGTGCACCTCTGATTACCGGGGGGGAGGATCATGGCGTGGTGAGACCTGTGTCTGTCTCTTTCATGAAAGAAAGAAATCAAATAAACTTAAAAATAAATAAATAAATAAATAATTTTTAAAAAGGGTGCAGGGGGTGGAGGGTAGTGAGGAAAGAGGCTTTTCGCCTGAATTTTCTCTCTGGCCTGGAAATGAGCTCTCCTGCTGCTGCCATAACTGGGAAAAGACACCTCACCCCTGCCACTTCCTGCCTCTCTGAGTGCTATTTCTATTCCCCTTCCTTTCGTTTTTTTTTTTTGGAAAGGTTTTTGCTATAGGGCACGTGCGCTCGCCAGACAGACAGACAGAGACAGAGAGACAGAAAGCGAGAAATCACCCCCCAAGGGGGATGGCCACGCCGCAATCCCTTCTCCTCCATTCTCCTCTCCGGATCTTGGGCACGCACGCACACGCACCTGGCGTGAGTTCAAGCCACCGGGTCCGGGACTCAAACCGCGGTCAACTACGTGGGAGTCCAGCGACATAGCCATATACGCTAACTGCTGATCCCTTCCTCTTCTTTTTAATGAGAGAGAGAGGACGTGAGCATGGAGAAGGGGAAAGAAAGAGGTCATTTCCGGCAGGTCTTGCCCCTGCGGTCCTCCGCCCCGGGCCCCAGCTCGCTATAATCACAGGCACGAGCCGCCACACCCTGCCTATTCAGGTTGGTCCAGGATCCAAACCCGGCCTCCCGAGTGGCCCCAGGCGCCCGCAGCGTGGCCCTTACGCTTGCGCCACCGTGCTGGGCCTCCGCGAGGTCCTCTGCTGGCCTTTATCTCCCAAAGTAAAGCACAAGTTTCCCTCCCTGATGGCCCTTGCCCCGCCCTGAGCTGCCAGCCGCCCCCAGGGACACGTGAGCTAAAGCCTCGGCTGCGCCCACCACAGGTGCTCCCTGGATCGTTCCTCTCATAGTCCTGACTCTCCTAAGGAGGGGTGAGAGACCCTGGTGAGAACCAGGTCAACTGGGTGCTAAAGAGCCCCTGCTGGACATCGGGGTAAAGGCCCTCGGGCTCCCTCCAGCTCTGAAGGGGAAGTTAGCAGGTAAAAGCACTTGGGGGAAGGAAGTGGAGGGGCTTTGTTCGGCTCTCGGGGCACAGAGGGGGCGTCTGCAGAATTCCCCCTAGGATCTATCTCTCAGTCCATATCGGACAGCCTCCACCCAGGACTCTGCATTTCGCAACAGGCATGGGGCTATTTCCACGGGGATATACCAGCAGCATCCAGGCCCCAGTGAGCTGGAGTTGAAGGAGTTAACACTCTGCTGAGCCGGAAGGAGAAAAGAGGTCAACATTGTTGGCTGGAGGTTCAATAATGCATGGAGCTGCCACTCCGCCTGCCCGCCCACTCTCTTATCTGCCCAACTCCATCTCTGACCTATTTTCTCTGCTCTTCTCCAAGAAACGAAGGAAGGAAGGAGGGAAGACAACATAAATCCATAATTAGAAAAAAATTTTTTTGTTTTAAAAGGATGGGGCCAGCCACACAGTGCGGTGGTTAAGGGAGCCAGATCACACATAGCTGACTGCAGTTTGAATCCTAGCCCGCAGCTTGAAAAACATGCTAGGCACATGTGTGTGCATGTCCAACATCCTGAGGGGATAGAGAGATGGGGAAAAGGTTGTGGCCTGGCTATGCCCCACTGGGGGGGGTGCCTCCTCTCTCTCTCTCTCTCTTCCTCTTTGCCAAGTGCACATACTCTCTGGCAATAATTCTTTCCAGATGATGGATTTGGGGGATGGGGCGAGATGGGAAGGACTCAGAAAAAAAAAGGCATTTAACAGACACGGGAATGCGTATAGACAGAGCACGAGTTTAACAGCACACAACTACTGAGTGGACAAGACTGACGTTGCCAATCTTACATACATCTATCTCAAGACAACTCCATAAACCTTGCAAAAGTTGAAGGTATGCATTATGATGTGCGGTCGAAAACGACGACTATGGTAACATCCTTCATCTGATGATCACACCCCATATGCAGGCTTTGAAAATCCACAACTTACCCACAAAGATGTACAAGGATTACATGTAAACCAGAAATTATTTAAATGATAAATGTGCATTGTCTTTCTTCCTCCCTTCCTCCCTTTCTTTCTTAGACAGTACTCTTCCCTTTTACAATGTCCTCATTATTTCTTCTAGCAAGTAGAGGTTTCTTAGTTGACTTTGTTTCTCGAGTGTATTTACTAATTCGATTTTTGATTCAGTGTCTGTAACATGCAAGGGGTCTTCCAAAAGTTCATGGAGGGGCCAGCAGGTGGTGTGAAGGTTAAGGCAGCTGGGTCCCACATGGCCAACTATATGGTTCAAGTCCTGGACTCAGCAGCTTGAAAGTCACACTGGGCACATGTACACGCATACACAAAATCCCAAGAGGAGGATGGGGAGGAAGAGGCTGCGCTATGGCCATTCCCCCAGGGCAGGGCTTTCTCACTTTTCCTCTCTCTCTCTGGTGACTGCACGTGCCCTATAGCAAAACTAAAGAAAAAAACAAACAAACATGGAAAATGCACAAGATGAATGAATTATGAGTGGATCTCCAAAGTTTGTTACACCAGCTTGGCGGTTATAGCGGCTGGATCCTACATGGTCGATCGTGCGGTTCAAGTTCCAGACCTGGTGGCTTGAAAGACACACTGAGTGCATGTACGTAAGTGCCCCCCAAATCCTGGGCACAATGGAGGAGAAGGGACTGCGGCCCGGTCATTCCACTTGGGGATGCTTTCTCACTTTCCCTCTCTTACTCTGTCTCTCTCAATTTGGACTCTCTGGCCAATTTTTTTAAAATGTGCACCAAAATAAACTCAGACTTTAATGTCAACGTTTCAGCACCTTGGTGGGGGTTTCCTTCCCCTAGGGTGATGTGTAGCAAGTTCTGGACCCTCTCGCTTCCCCTTAAAACTCAGTAGCTTTATTTCATTCTCAAAGTAAGGCTTTTAATTTAAATGTGAACTGGGCCTTCGCCTCCTGAGGTCTCTCTGAAAAGAGCCGTATGGAAGTCTGCTCTGCAGCGCCATGATGTAATTCCGAGACCTGAGGAATACAGGCCAACTGCTCAGCAGAGGAAAACTGGGAGGGAAACAGGGGCGCGGCGCCCAGGGTGTGTACAGGTCAGGGATGTCTCTTAGCAAGGACATGTCCACAGCACGTGTGCTGGGGACAGGTCAGAGGAGGCGGGATGGTGGGAGCAGGGGACACACTCCTTTGCTACCAGGCCAAAAGCCCCCGGCAGGCCCCTCTCCAGCATTTCCAGAGCACGGTACCCACTAGCTATTTCTGGGTGGCGTCCAACCACAGCTGGAAACGCATGCCCGCCCGGGACATTCCCATTCTCACCTCTTCACGAGCGTCCCTGAGCGAGGAGTTGAAAGGGCCCCCTCTCCTACAAAGGGTCGCCCTGCCCGTGTCCTCCTGCTGCCCGAACAGCTCCTCGATGGTCTTGGTGTCGATCTGGTAGTGATGCTGCTGCCTGGCCGCCAACGTCCAGATGTTGGTTTTGCCCCGAACTTGCTCCTCTGGGATGGTTTTCCAAAAAAAGCTGCGCATGCGCTTTTTCTTGCCAAGGTGGCTGTAGCCGTTCATGTGAGCCGCGGGGGGCAGTCCCGGAGGAGGAGGGGGGCCC